GTGGCAACAATTGTGTGGTTGGCCCAGGACTGAGCAGTGTTTTGTTCTATTGTGCATAGGGTCACTGTGAGTACCAACTTGATGGCACCTAACAACAACAACAAAAACAAGTCAGGCTGCTAACCTCAAGGTCAGCAATTCAAACCTACCAGTCATTTCTGCTCCTGTAAAATTTTATAGCCTCAGAAACCCTACACAATGTTGTTATGAGTCGAAACGGACTCCACAACCCATAAACACCACCACCACCACCACTTGGGGCTGCAACCACTTGTCTGTCAGTTTTTCACACTGTGGTGGCTTGCATGTTGCTATGATGCTGGAAGCTTTGCCACCCGTATTTTAAATATCAGCAGGGTCACCCATGGAGTCCTGTATGGTGCTGTAGGATAAGTTCTGAACTGCTAACTGCAAAGTCAGTCGTTCTAACCCACCAGCCATGTCTCAGAAACCATATACAGGGTCACTATGAGTTGGAACTCACTTGATGGCACTTAACAACGACAACAGTAAGGGTCACCCGTGGTGGGCAGGTTTCAGCAGAGCTGACAGACTAAGACAGACTAGGAAGGAAGAGAGGCAGACTGTTTCTAAATGGTTAGCTACTAAAAACCTGATGAATCACAGAATATTATTGTCACATACAGAACTAGAAGATGATCCCTTCAGTTGGAAAACACTCAAACTGTGACTGGGTGGGGAAAAGCTGTAGAGTTGGCCTTAATAACGTGAATGGGACTTCCATTGGTTGATGGGACACAACTCAAAATAAGGTGAAGCTGCGGGAAATATCCATTAATTATCAGACTACAGAATGTATGAAGTATGAATTTAGGAAAATAGGAAATGAAAAGAAATGCATGAAGACCAATATTAGCCATTTTGAATCTGACAATCATATGATATACTATGCTGAGAACATCAAATTGAGGCGAAATGGCATCACTTTCATTGGCAAAAAGAACATTCAAGATGTATCTTGAAATATAATGCTGTCTGTAGCAGGAAAATATCCATATACCTATAAGAAGACCAGTTAATACCACTATTATTCATATTTTTAAGCCAACCACTAAAGTCGGTGATGATAACTTCAGCTTCAAATTGATCAAATATGCAATCTAAATGCATTGATAATTATTGGTGAAGACTGAAAACAAGGAAGGGTCAGTAGTTGGGAAATATGATCTTGGTAATAAAAATGATGCTGGTGATCACATGGTAGACCAGCAACTACTTCATTGCAAATACCTTTTTTAAACAACATAAAAGGTGACTATACACATGGACCTCGCCAGATGGAATACACAGAAATCAGATTGACTACATCTGTGGAAAGAGATGGTGGGAAAACTCCGTATCATGAGTCAAAAGAAGGCCAGGGGCTGACTGTGGGACAGACATCAATTACTCATACACAATTTCAGGCTGAAGTCGAAGAAAATGAAAACAAGTCCTCCAGAGCCACACTATGACCTTGAATATATCCCAACTGGGTTTAGAGGTCATCTCAAGAACAGACTGAATGCATTGGACACTAATGACCAGAAGAGCAGGGGCATGATATCAAGAGCATAATACAGATGGACTACAGATATCTTGTTATTGTTAAGTGCCGTTGAGTCAGTTCCAACTCTTAATGACACTGTATCAGGTTTCCAAGGAGCAGCTAGTGGGTTTGAACCACCAATCTTACAGCTAGCAAACTAGTGCTTACCCTATAGCACCACACCAGGCCTCAATCATGTAAAATGAGTCTTGTTAGTGCACTGGGCTGTTAACCACAGGTTGGATCACACACACTAGCCGCTCCACAGAATCAAGATGAGACAGTGTGCCCTGTAGAAATGTACAGCCTCAGAAACCTCATGGAACAGTTCTGTTCTGTCCTATAAGGTCGTTGTGAGTGGGGATCGTCTCGATGACAACAGGGTTGGTTTTTGTTTATATCATATAAATGCATAGAAGAAAATGAAATTATACCAAAATTAAAATTACAATAACTAAAAAATCTGAAAGTACACCAAAATATCAACCATGGAATAATGTTTATTTCTGGACAAGAGGATTATAGGTAATTTTTCTTTTTTACTTCTTTGTACTGCCCAGATTTCTACAACAAACATATGCTTTTTATATAATTAGAAAAGAAAGACCTATTTTAAATGATGTGCTTCAATTTATCTCCAAGAAGAAGTGCTCCTAAGGCACCCTAGATCAGCTGACCTGCTTTGAACGTTCTTCCAAGAGCCTTTGCTACGCTGCGGCTGCTATAAGTTCTACCAGCCTGGCCCACTGACCTGCTGCGCCTCTCCTTCCCCTTCTAGATACCTCCGTGGGCGTGTTCCACTTACGCTCCCCACTCGGCCAGTACAAGCTGACCTTTGACAAAGCCAAAGAGGCCTGTATCAATGAAGCTGCAACCATGGCAACCTACAACCAGCTCTCCTATGCCCAGAAGGTAGGCACCATGCAGCTAGCATCTGGGGGCAGGGTTTGCAGGGGTCTCCAGAGGAAGAGACTCTTCCTTCTTCAGGAACTCCTGAGTGATACTAACGACTCATCAAGTCCACCTATTGGGTGGCTGCTATGTGTCAGAGGTACCTGGTGGTGCTAACAGTTAAACAGTCAGCTCCTAACCAAAAGGTTGGCAGTTCTAACCATCCAGAGGTGCTTCAGAAGAAAAGTCTGTAAATCTGCTTTCAAAAGATCACTGCCAGGAAAACCTTATGGCACAATTCTACTCTGACACACATGAGGTCACCGTGAGTTCAAATACACTTGACGCCAACTGGTTGGCTTTGTTGGTTTGGTTTTCACTGTGTGTCAAGCACCATACTGGGCACTTTGTTGACATTATTGCCCATGCTATATCTGGGAAGTTGTTGTTATTGGACACCATTCAAGTCAATTCCAACTCATAGTGACCTCATGCAACACAGTAGAACTGATCCTTAAGGGGAGTTTTTTGTTTGTGTTGTTTTCAAAGTTCTTTTTTTACTTTATTATACAAGGCAGTCTTCAAAAACATTTCTGCATCCACCATTATAGGGGCTGTTATTAGAAAAGATAAATATTAAGATGGAATAAGAGGTTAGACTGCCCTGTATTCAATATATCATAACAACACAGAAGGTGCTGCCATAGCAACCTGGCCCATATGTTTTGAGTGAAAATAATGTATAAGCTCTTTTTTAATGAGAGAAAACACACACACACATATTATATATATATATATATTTTCCTTTCCAATATGTGGAGGTGAGGAACAAAAAGAGAAAGCATTTTCCTTTTTTTCCCCTCTTCTTCTCTTTTCCTTCCTTTTCTTTTTAACTGCCTTCCCCATCACCC